ACCAACAACCGACTTAGGAAAATAGCTTTTGGAACCTGACCCATTCCTATATTGGGAAGGATTCAACAGTTTGTTCTTGTTTCCCCACCCCCCACCCCTTGTTCAGTTTATCTCTTAATATAATAAAGTCCTTCATTTGCCATATGAAGACAGTCATTCTTTATTTGGGACTCACTCTATAGCCCTTGTTGATCATCATCAGTTAACCAGATGATTGAGTATGAACCTCCCATACACACCGGCATCCTACGTGGGAATTCTGGTCCTCCTGGCCCTGGATTGACTCCCCGGCAGTGACGGAGAAGCATCCATCAACACCCTTCCTGACACCAGCAGAAAGGACAGGTTGGAGAGAGTAGGTGAAGACATGGAGGACACTGGGATGTTTTTCACCTGCAGTTATTCAGATGGAAGGCAATGAGAGCCTGGAACAAAGAAACGGCCTTTCAGGCAGGGAGATGTGGGTAGGTAAGAGAAGCAGCAGAGGTAAAATCCATAAGAGTTTGTCAGCTAATTGTTCATGGGGTGGGATAAGGACCATGAGGAAGGGATGAAGACCTGAAAATCTTCTACCCTCCCACAAGTGCTAGTGCTCCCATCTCCTCTGTGCTCCCAGAGGGTCTTCTTCCATTTTCTCTAGGTCTGAGTCTTACTCCCAGGCTAGACTATAAATTAGATGAAGACAGGAAACATGTCTGCTTGATCTTTCATTCCCTAGCCTCTAGGTGCAGCACCTAGCACCCAGTGGTTTATCAATACAAGTTTTAATGGTCACCCTCCTGCCCCATGAGGAGGCCCCAGATGTCTCCCTTCCAGAAACAAGACTAGGTAGAACTCCAAAACACTCCTTTCCTTGGGCTCCACCTGATCAGTGTACATCCTTCTCTACCTGCTGCCTGCTCTGCTGGACTGCAATACCTCTTTAAAATGAATCAATCCTCTTCAGAATCTACTCCAAAATTTCCAGCAAGTTTTCCTCTTTTCATCCTGCCTCCTACCACTCTACCCCATTCCTTTCTATTCCCTAAAACCTAGTCTTTTTCTAAACTCATGTACACATTTTTTGCTAGGGAATTTTATCTGTATTTTGGTATATTCTGACTATTTCTTAGTAAACATAGGAGAGAGCTTCTCTTTTTAAGGGTGGAGTCCTGCACAATATCCTCTTAGTTTTCATATGCCTTCTTTCAAGGCCCTACTGAAATATTCTTCTGTGCCTCAAAGCCAATGGGGTTTTGCACGGGGATTATAATGGCTGGGTCCAACACAGAGTGGTGTAGCTGTCTATTAACCATTCCTAAGTGGTAATGGAGAGCTCTGCAGCTCATGTTTCCTATATTCATAAATTTGGACCAGTTTCACCTAAGAGTATTTTCTTAACCACTTTAATTCAACTTGACCCTACCTAAGACATTGAATCTGACAAATATTTATTAAGCTCCCCTATAAAAGGCACTCTGACAACTTCCTGTCTTTTCATAGGATATCCAAGATTATCTTTCAAGTTGACCCCCATGTCTTACTATTTCTCTAAGTATCAACTGTAAACATAAAGATTTCCACTGTTTAAGCTTCTTTTAAATTATTTCTGAAAATGTTTGGTAACCTGGTGCTTTATTCTTAATTAGAATGTTTCCCCCATGATGATTAATTTCATTTGTCATGTTGGCTGGGCTATGGTGCCCAGACAGGTGGCCAAACATTATTCTGGATGTTTCTGTGAGGGTGTTTTCGATGAGATTAACATTTAAATCAGTGAACTTCGAGTAAAGCAGATTGCCCTCTGTAATGTGTGTGGGCTTCGTTCAATCAGTTGAATAAAACAAAAGACCGACCACCTCCTCCCCCGAAACAAGGGACAATTCTGCCAGCAGACATTCTTTGGACTTGAACGGCAGCAATCGCTCTTCCCTGGGCACCAGCCTGCCAGCCCTATTCTCCCTGCAGATTTTAAAACTGCCTGCCTCCATAATCATGTGAGCCAATTTTTAAAAAATAAATGTCTTTCTATATATAATTTACACACCCTATTGGTTCTGTTTCTCTGGAGAATCCTGAGTAATACACCCCCATTCACCATCCAGGTCTTTGAGACAGAAGATTTCATCTCGGCAAAAGAGAAACTTTGAGCACTTCTGAGAGCTTGTTGGAGATTCTGATTAAAGATCTGTAGAAGGAAAGGAAGAAAGGATGCTTTGGAGGTCTGACCCATGACCGGGCAAATGACATGGGGGAATGAATCCCAGGGAGAACAAAAGGAGAGAAGTAGCCTCTTATGACAGTATGCCAGAAGTGATCTAAGAAATCACACAGGTCTCTGAGAGGGTATCAGTAATCAATGCAATTTGATTAATTGACTTTAAAATATGTTAGAGTTTTATTTTCAGGTTCCATTGTGTATTTTTTGTGTTTTACTCTGTGCAGTTACTTCATCCAAAACCACAGGGGACTGACAGAGCACCAAATCCACATCAAAACCATTTGAATGATAGTGTTGACACAATGCTAGGGTACAAAGTATCTACTCTGCTTTTCCACTGTTAATTCCAGTCCTTATTGCGCACAGAAAACAGTAAAGCTTTCCTTTCCTCATCTGCCCCCTACAGATATGCCCAGTTTATGCAGTGAATGGGTTTCTGCAAAGGTATGTATTTGATGCATACCTTTGTGAATTGCTTTATATTTTGAAGACACATTAGAGGAATTGGCTATTTCAAAGAAACTTCACAAGTATCTGATTTCTTAATGTCATAAGTCATTCTGATTCAAGACCATAACATCTCCCTGATGTATTAGCTTATGAAGTTCTATTTTTTTTGCTTTAGAGGTTAATTAATGTAAGATAAAACTATATCTAATAACATTCATTTGCCTGAAAGAATTATTGTAGAATGCCTAATGTATCACCAGAAAGTAGTTTAATGTCTCAAATAAATGCCAAGTTGTTCAAATCACACTGATTGACAACTTCATTAGGTATAAATGTCACTATTATCCCTATTGTCCTGCATTTTTTAGGAAGAAAACATTCACACGGTGAAGGGAGTCAGAATCTATTTTTATATCCCTAGAGTTATAAACATTTGTATCAAAATATTTACAATTATAGTATATGAAATATCAATCTATTAAAGAAGCCAAATACAGTACTAGAACAACCCACCAATGTAATGCAAATTACATGAGACATAAATGTCACAGAAATAAAGTAAAAGACAAGGGAATACATGTTTCACTCCAGTCATAGTTTGACTTTTCAACATAATGCGAGTATCTCTTTTGGGTATATCTGATATGTAAGTATGCTTCTGCACATAAGACAGCCTTCTATAATCATGTGATAATTAAGTCATAATTAAAAAGTTCATCATCCCACAGTTTTTGCTTGCCATCTCTCTACCCCCAGCCCAGGTAATCTGGTGGCCTGCCCTCAATATTCCCTTAACCAGAATGAACATAGAGCAATACACTTAGTCATAGTCCTTTTACATAAATACCAGCAATCATGGCATGACAACCCCCAGAAAGGAAAATTATGTAAGAAATGGGATAAGGAGAGAGCTGGGAGAAGGAAAGTAGGCAAGATGTCTCAGATCCCCCCTGGGGTAGATCTTCTTCTCAGGTAATAAAGGAAATCTCTTCCCAAAACAACCCCTTTCGACAGAATCTGAGATGGCTCAGCTGCTCCAGGCCAGAGCCATGCCTGCTTACCCAGGAATAACATACTGCTACCAAGTTCTATAGAAATGCTCTTATGGCAACAGACAGCCCAATCGCCAACTGACTGGGTACCACAAGAGTTTTTGCTTTTTATTTTTTCTCTTAAAGAAAATATCCACCTAACACCTATGTTTTTATTTGTCTCGTGGGAATTTTCTAATTTTCCTGGGAAGGCAGGCACTCTGTTCCAATCGTGACCGAAATCTAGTATGCTTAATACTTTCCAATTATATAGCACCTTTCACCCAAGGATCTATTTGGTTTTGGTTTGTGTTTTACTAAGCTTCCAGAATTGCCCTGCCTCACTTGTGGGAAAGGCAATGGCTCCAGCCCATGTCAGAGAGAGAGCTACCACTGAGACTAGGAGTCCCGATCCCCAACACAGATAATTAGACAAAACGTCCTCAAAAGTTATAATTTAGAGGGAGAGTAATAAATCATGTTACAAGGAACCATGTCCATCTCTCTCCCAGTATGTGCTCAAAAGAAACACTGATTGCATGGACAGGGGGTCCTAAAAACATAACCCTACTGTAGCACTGTCACCAGATTGCCCCTTGGTTCCATAATTTGTGTGGTGCTTTCACCACGGAATTGGTCATTAGTGGCTTTACAGAAATGCCAAAAGAGCGGCTTTGGCTTTAAGCAAGAGGCCTAGCAAAGTCCATAGCAAGAGGTCTCTGGGAGGGACAGCTGTGTGAGGTCTGGTTGGGTTCTGATATCCCCCAGGCCTTCCACTGTGAAAAGTTCTCTTTCTTGGTTTAACTCACCCACCAATTTGGCCTTAGGACTATATGTCTTTCTCCCATTTCGTCACAAATACCACTGAGTTCCACAGAGTTAAATATCTGTTCTAAAGAGGGATAATGGCTCACTGGCCAAAGCCCTCGTATGGGCCCTTCAGACCGGAATGTGATGGTTTGCTTTGGGTCAGAAAGGCACGATGGTTCCCAGGCTTAGCATATTCAACACAAAAACAAGATCTGCTCTTGCTGGAACTTGTACCGCTATTTTAACTGGATGCAATCTGTCTGAGGATGGCAGCACGAGACCCAGAATTCAGCCTCAGGAGTGGAGCCCGTGGTGTGGCAGTTGATGGGGCCCCAGGCAGTGTGTGTAACTGAGAACAGCCGAAGGCCAAGTCTGGTGGCTGGAGAGAGGCTCTCCGGCTGCATCCGGGGAGCAGCAGAGCGCTAGCCAACTACTTTCTCCCAAGGGCGGGGGCTCGCCCAGCAGAGAACCTCCTCAGGAATGGTTTGGATTTCAGCCTCTCCCACCCTACTTCCCCTCCCCCCACCCCCGCTCTCGGTTTTTCCTGCAGAGCATCTCCCGCTTCCCTCCCAGATTCAACGGCTTCCTTCTCCCCACCCCCCGGATCCCCGTGAATTTGTTCGGCCTTATTTCTTCCTCAGGACTAGATAGAGCACACCAATGATGAAGCTAAAGCAGAAGCAGATCCAGGTGAGGATGAAGGAGTAGCCATGGTGACTGGTCAAGTAGTTGGTTCCATAACCACTGGCATAGTGATGAGTATAGATGGACACCCCAACCATAACGCACAACCCTGCAAGGGGGACGAAAAAAAATGTCTCATTTTTCGGTTTTTTATATTAAAACCAAGAAAAAAATTGTATAACTTTTAAAAGATCCTATTTCCCTCATAGCAAAATGGGAAATTTCACTGGGAAAATAAAATCTGTCTCTTTAGCCCTATACGATAGTTCTGTTGATTTGCCCTGAACCAACCAACCTTGATGGTTGTGCTGATAAACTAGAGGTGTTTGGGCTCTCGCACCCACACTGGTTTGTGTAGCTACAAATGTGAAGTAAAACACAGAACTTCACGTCCACCACCCAGCTTTTCCTTCTGGACCCCAGCATATGTAGGCAGGCTGCCCAGGATGCAAAAGAACACAGCCTTGCACCCAGTCGTGTGCATTGGGGAAGAACGGCAGGAGAAAGAGAACAGCAAGGCTGGCATGCACTGTGGCAGTGGCTCCATCTAAGGACGCCCACCTTCCTGCCCTCAAGTGTCTCGTGTACAAGTGCTTGCAGTGGGCGTGGCCCGGCCACTTAGTGGCCACCCGCCCCCCCACCCCAGCCCGGGAGCGCTAGGTTTAAACATAGCAATCTGTTTAAAGCAGATGACAGTACTTATGCAAAGCACCAGCAGGGGTTCTCAAAAAGAGAACAAGAAAGCAGAGGAGAAAATTGTCCATGTGCCATGTGCTCATCTGTCCAAACTGCCAGGAGCACCCACAGGAAGGCCGCCCTAAAAGCTTTTCTGGCATAAACCGGAGCCCACCCTTACGATACTCACAGCACACGAGCATGGTGGCCCCCGAGAGGAAGAAGCGGTTTCCCTTCTCCATGGTGAAGAGCTGGAACACGAAGACCACGAGGGAGATGACGGAGAAGATGATGGAAAGGATCATGAAGGCCTGCACCGCCTTGAGGGCGTCTGTGGACACAGGAGGAGAACAAGGTATTGGGCTAAGCAGTCCCCGGCAGGCTGCACGCTTCCCTGACCACCCGAATCGCCCTACTGAGCACAGCCGTCTAACACATACCTTCACTGGCATAGGACAGGATGCTTTCACAGCCGCCACTCGTACAGTTTTTCCAAAGACCAACTGATGCTTGCATAATATCCGAAACCACCCAGACCTGAAACCAAAAGGAAACAAACAGTTGTTTAAAAGCTGACCATCATGAGGCGCCTGGGTGGCTCAGTCGTTAAGCGTCTGCCTTCGGCTCAGGTCGTGGTCCCAGGGTCCTGGGATCGAGCCCCGCATCGGGCTCCCTGCTCAGCGGGAAGCCTGCTTCTCCCTCTCCCACTCCCCCTGCTTGTGTTCACTCTCTCGCTGTGTCTCTCTCTGACAAATATATAAATAAAATCTTTAAAAAAAAAAAAGCTGACCCTCTGCTTTAAAAGGAAAAGAAATAGCAAATCAGATTTGTGTCTGGATCGAATCTTCGGCAACACCCCGTACTGAGCTCCATATATGGCTAAGCACCCCACCTCTTGGTGGAAATGAGGTGTGACCAAAACTGAAGCCAGAGAGGTGCCAAGAGAAAAGGTGGAAGATTGCGTGACTGAAGAAAAATCACATAGTTTCTCTGGGCTTCACATTCCTTATTACTCAAAAAAAAAAAAAAGTGGTTTAAAATTCTGAGGTTCTGAGAAAGAGAAACATCAGATGAGGCAACTGGTTTTAAGTACGTACCATCCATACTCTCTATCAAGACCATTTTAGGGGCGCCTGGGTGACTCAGTGGGTTAAGTGTCTGCCTTCTGCTCAAGTCATGATCTGGGGGTCCTGGGATCAAGCCCCACAGGGGGCTCTCTGCTCAGCGGGAAGCCTGCTTCTCCCTGTCCTTCTGCCCCTCCCCCCTGCTCATGCTCGCTCCTTCTCTCTCTCTCTCTCTCTCTCTCTCAAATAAATAAATAAATAGACCATTTCATGTAAGGGCCCTGAGGGAGTTAAAAAAAAAAACGCTCAGGGGCGCCTGGGTGGCTCAGTTGGTTAAGCGACTGCCTTCAGCTCAGGTCATGATCTCAGGGTCCTGGGATCGAGCCCCGCATCGGGCTCCCTGCTCCACGGGAAGCCTGCTTCTCCCTCTGACCCTCCCCCTGCTTGTGTTCCTTCTCTCGCTGTCTCTCTCTGTCAATTAAATAAATAAATAAAATCTTTAAAAAAAACGCTCAACTGGAGGCAAATAGGAAACATATGGACAATGAAGAAAACAGCAATGAGTCTTGGTGTCAAGAAGCCACTTCCATCCAAGCAGAAGGATGTGGGGGCCCCTGAAAGTAGAGGAGTGACCAACATGTATTCCTCAAGACTCACTGTGGTGCCAGTGTCCCTTCCCACCCGGCCCAAGCAAAACAATTATTCTTCTGGAAAACAAACACCCGGCTTGTCCACGCAGGGCACCTATTAGAATGAGCATTGCTGGAAGGCCAGGGCCAAGGATGTGTGATCACCTGCTCTTGATTCAATAAACAACTGTATGCCAAGCCCTATATTAGGAGCTGATAATTCAGATATTCGGCACTTTGCCATCCACTAATGCTGTCTGAAGTCACTTATCAGGCTTGTTACCCTGAGAGACTTAGGGGTTGGGGCACGGAATGGCTGACCCGAAGTCTGGAGGAGGGCTCATGGGCTAGGATTCTTAAATCAGCCTTGCTCCTGGCAACCACATCCACCAATGGTAGCCAAACTTTCCTATCTGAACTTCGAAACCCATTTGTCCTTTAACTGTAACATGGACCTAATCAGATTCTGGAGCCACCATTTGCCCCTCTAGTGAGGGATGGCCTTGACTTTTGTGTGCCAGGGGCTGTCTTGTTTCTGTCTGAGAACAGCACAATAAAAGCAAATGTGGTGCTATAAACGACCGCTAGAGGTCAGAGTAGCCCAAGGCTCTGAGAGAACAATTTTTTTTCATTGTTTTGCTTGAGTGAGTTAATTCCCTGGAACCAGGTTAATCTGGCACAATTCCACCTTCACGTGCTCTTCTCAGTTCAGAATTTGAATGTGTCAGTCTGGCAACCGAAGCCTCTCATCGTTTCTCCCTCCCCTCTATCCTTCTAATCAAGGTTCCCAGAAGGAAAGGAAGCTCTGCTCTCGCCGCCTGGGTATCCCCATGCTGCCCTGAACAAAGCCTCTCCCTCTCACCGGGGCACCTTGGCTAGCACTCTTGCCTGCAATGCATCCCTGTGCTCTTTCCGCGATTCATCCTCCGCCAAGAGACCCCGCCCATCTACCCATCCTCCAAGCTCTACCTCCGGAGAAGGTTCTGCCAGGGACTGAAGAAGCCTCATTGTCTTCTCCAGCCTCTAGCCGCCCACAGCCCCGGCGGGCTCACTCTGGTAGACACCGGCTTTTCTCCTCCTGCTATTTCAGTGTTTGACGTGCCAATGGGTGCTTTTTTTTTTTTTCCCACAACGAAACTGTATATTCCCGAGGGGCAGGGATTGTGGCTCAAACTTCTTTTGCAGCACTTTATGTAAATATTCAGATAATTTCTGGGTGAATGAATGAACAAAAGAACATATTACTCACATTGGCAATGGTGGAGACAAATAACATGATGACAGTGGCGATGTGGACCACAAAGATCCCAGCCAGTAATACCAACATCTTGGCTTTTTGATGCCTCAAAGAGCAACGAAGAGTTCTGAAAAGAAAGGAGAAGATAAAGTGGGGGGAAAGGTTACTGTCAGATTCAATCAGACGATTCAGCTTCCCCACACGTGTGGACTATCTGCTAAAATCAGGAAGAATTTCAATAAAAACCATCACGATTTCATTATAAATTCCTGAAAACATCTTGTTAATCTACTTTCCTAAATGCCTCTTTATCTATTTACATATACTTAAATATAAACATAATTCTGCTTCTCAAGTATTTATATACTCCTCTCTCTAATAGAGCATGTTTCCGGAAACACACACACACACACACACACACACACACTTTATCACTATTCATGTTTTATTTTGTTTGTGTCTTAAGAACCAAAAGAAGACTTTGATCTTTTAAAAGGCTTTTTTGCAGCTGTAATTTCCAGGTCTCTGTGCAATGATGTCCCATAAATATCCATTTTCCACTAGGGAAGCGTCTGCGCCTCTATCAAACTGTTCGCCCTGTGACATTAATAGAAGTGGATCCCTTCTGCCAAATAGCAGCTAACACTCAATGCCCATAGACTGAATAGGCTACTCGTTTGCTCCCGGATGAGATGTAAAATGTAGGAGCCACAGCTTCTGTTATTATAATGCTGTTTGGTATTCAATAATTATAATAACCTAATTAAAGTGTAATGGTCCGATCACCTACTGATTGAACATTTCAGATTTGTATTGCTGCACCTGAGCCTTGGGGCTGTATGTGCCTCATGGTAGGGACTCTGCTATCGGTCTGGGGCAAAATGCTGTGTTTTCTTTGATGCAGTATGTCTGTTCTGGGGCTTTTGAAGTATGCAGACTGAAACACCACTAAACGAGCCTTCTGTTTGTGCATGACATTTACACACCGTCCAATCCTTCAGGAGTCCATGGAGAAGATATGCAAATGCATAAATCACATGCTGGGAGGATTGGGAATGAATATGGATTAAGAATGGGCATAGATAAACCAAACTGTTCAGCCATAATCTCAGCAGAGGAGACGGGAGCCCACTGATCATAAAGAAAGTGTGAAGGATGCTCATGGGAGTGGCTATTCTGACTTACGTCAGCTGCAGTGGGAAGGCTCCATTCAAAGAGCTGCAGGTTATTCACACCAGGGTGGAGGTGTGGATGTCCCCACCTAGGGAGGAGATGGCTGGGCACATCCTGCAATTGTCCCGCTTCTCTCTCTCATTCCACCTAATTTAACTGAAGCTTTGAGCCTGCTTGAGCCACTTTCCTATTGTCCTAGGTCCTTAGTGGCCAGCACTGATGCTTGTCTCAACGCTCCAAATGCCTCTTATCTCCTCTCACTTTCCCCATCAGGTATTCAAAATCTAAAATGTTCTTTAAAAAAAAAAAAAATCTAGAAAGTTCTGATGTACACGAAGGGGCCTTGCTCTTTGCAGGCCAGGAATGAGAGGCAGCCTGTGGCTTCCCAACCTGCTCCAACAACCCCTGCCTTCCTTCCCAGTCCCAGCATTTCCCTCCAACCCAGGCTACTTTGTAGGGATTTGTCCAATTTCACTGTGAATGACAAAAATCATGAAGTTTATCCTGCTGCCTCAGGGTGGAAAGCTTGGAGCTTTCATGCCTGCTATGAATAATCTCTCTGCACATTCAAATTCATTTTTGCTTTCCGCGGGTCACGCATACATCCACAATTTTCTGCTTTACTTTAATGCACAGTGAAAAGAGGTTTTTGAATTAAACAGGTTGGGTTAGAATCATCTAGTCATGTCCTTCCGTTCTCAGTGTCCTCCTCTATAAAGTAGGGGCTATAATGCCGATCACACAGGAAAATATGAGGGTTATGGATCATGTTTGTGAAACTAGCAGCATCCACCACATGGCAGATACTAATGAGACTGCTTTGGTTGTGGTTATTAGCATTACTATTAATATCCTATGAAACTGAGAGTAGCTGTTACCAACATAACAAGTCAATTAGTCACCAAGCTACCCCAGGTTAAGTACAAGTAATAGGATATCTGCTATGTACTTCACCAAGTGGTGTACATAAATTATTTTGGTCCTCTTAGAAATTGCCATTATGCCTAATCCCTGCCCTGTGGGTGGGGAGACTACTAAGAACACACCCTCAGGAATCAGAAGGAGAAAGCTCAGTCTTCTCAGCCCTGACCGTCCTCCCGACACCCCCAAAATTCACACCATCATTGGATCCTGATCTTGCCCTTCATGAGGAAAGGAAGAAGCTGACTGTAGGGGATTACAAATGTTACATGACAAGTCATGTGTTTAATCCTCCTTGGCCTCTATAAATGTCTTTTTTATTCCTTGACTTCTAACTGACAAACATCCTCCTCCTAATAGAGGGAGGTGGTCGAGGGGCCCAGAACAGAGTATAATACGCCAAGTGAGGCCTCTTAAATGAGGTGGAGGAAACACTGTGAGTTCCCTGCCTTACATGCTGTTAGGAATTCAGCAACGCTTTCAGGCCCCTTGGGTTGCTATATAACCCTCCAGAGTAAGTCTCATTGCTTTCATCCCTGCTCACCCTCTCCATTTTGATGACTTGATCGTTATTGCATTCCATGCACCATCTTCCTACTGAACCTCACTTCGGCCCATCCACTGTACCCCCAGCCTCTGGATGTCACTCCTGATCTAAGGGTAATGGCCTTATGAACAAGAGATCTTATAGTGCCCTGCTGTGTAGTGCCCCCTGTTTTTCAGGGCCTGGCGTTTCCCCATCTGTTGCGTGTGCTCTGCTGTTGTGTCCTGGCCACTTTATCCTTCAGGCCAGTTGTCTGCAGAGGCTCTCTTTGCCTGACGTGAGCAGTGTTTGGTCCCTGGCCTGAACGTGGTGCATTTTAACTAGGTGTGCTCTGGTCTGCTTATGAAATGAGACCCATTGCCACCACCACAGGAACCAAGTCTGGATCTCACTCCTGATCTAAACCAAGGGCCCACCTGATCATTATTCCCTTGCCTGGTGCAGGCTGGAGGAGTGGGTGGGGGAATCGAGCAAAGAAGTGACTCTCTTTCTTCTTAGATTCCTGTGATTGTACCACATCTGTCCACCAAGGAAAGGAGCAAAACTGTCTTGGATTAGCTGGAGCTCTTTGTGTAAGGAACACGTAATTCCCTCTGCGTTTGGCTGCTGCATCCAGCCAGAAGTAGGGGTTATCTGGCTGGAGCTAGTACAAAATGCATATAGCTTCTCCATCTTTTCATTGGCCCCCAATTTCTCAGGTTTCGTTAGTGTCATCCATTGTCAGCTTAGAGGGGCTTCCATTGTTTTCAGTGGCCCTCCCCAACACATTTGGAAGCAGAATGAACTATCTTCTTAAGTTTCTAACCTGGATTACCCCTTCCAGTGCCCATACTAGAGAGCCCCCAGTAGAGAAACCCTCAGCCAGAGGTGTGTGTAAGGGCAAATCTTGATATATTTATAGGCAACCATGAGAGCTACCTCGTGGGTGAATGTCTGGGGATCTATCGAACAGCAGAGCACAATGGGAATAAATAACAGAAGGTCTCAGGCTCCTGAAACTTCCACCCACCCCCTACTTGCAGCGTAGCTTGCAGGGAGACTCATTCCCTACCCTGGTGTGTATCTTGTGTCATACAAAAGCACTGAAAAGAGACCATTTCTGAACGTTCATATCATTGGAAGTATTGGCTGCTACAACTTTCTTGGCAATTTGCTTCACTACAACGATAATTGGCTTCTTCCTCACACCTCTCTAAAATGCTTTGGATGGCACTCTCCAGTGGAAAGCATACCCTTAGTCACAGCTGGACAGCTCGAACCAGGAAGTACAAAATAACAGCATTGCAATTCTGAACACTTAGGAGCAATGTCTGTCCCTCAGAGCATTTGGTGCACTGGGCAGTCCCCAAGTTTCTCAGCTGGTTGCTTGGGAACTCCCATAAAATCATTTAAGGTACTTCTGCTCTCAGACCCAGGCCCACAGTGCTAGTCCATTCACAGTGTTCTTGAAGGATAGGACACCCCCTGACTGTTCTATGTGAGGTGCCAGGAACACATTTCTCCACCCATCCCTGTAAGCAGAGTAGGACTTCTTGGGACAGGTGTACTCAGGGCTATCACTGCACTGGATGGGAAACTGAGAAAAGAATAGGAGGCATGAATGTGGACTCTAGAGAGAAGTTGAGTGTTAAGAGAAAAGGAAGTTAAGAGACTTAGGGCCAGGGGGGCGCCTGGGTGGCTCAGGCGTTAAGCGTCTGCCTTGGGCTCAGGTCATGATCCCAGGGTCTTGGGATCGAGCCCCGCATCGGGCTCCCTGCTCGGAGGGAAGCCTGCTTCTCCCTCTCCCGCTCCCCCTGCTTGTGTTCCCTCTCTCGCTGTCTCTCTCTCTGTCAAACAAATTAAAAAAAAAAAATCTTTAAAAAAAGAAAAGAGACTTAGGGCCACACATCAGCTCTCTGACATCTCTTTTCTGTTGTTCTTTCTTCCAAACACACAAGCCAGCCGGTTCCCTTTCTACTACGACCAACTTTTATTCTTGAACAAACTTCCCCTTTTCTTCTCGAATTGCCCAGCCCACAGAGGAGGAGCAGTCTCTTTATGCTCCTAGTCCCGATGCAAACCTCACAATCACTGACCATTCTAGATTTGGATTAAGTTCTTTGCTAAAAGACAATTATTACAGTTAGCGGAAATGACCTTGAGAATTACAATTGCTGGAGATTGGAGGTGTAAAGGACTAATTCATGTGGGGTGGAGGTGGGGGAGATAACTGTCCTCTCCAGTTGTCTCCATTCGCTTAAACCTTTATTGGTTTCTTGCCTTCCTTTTATGGCTTCCTACTCCCCTAAAATATGCAAGAACCAAAGGAACATAGCTCCGAGACTGCCTTGCATTGCCTCTTTGCCTTTGCTTTTAGGGTGCTCTGACCATGAGAAATCAATCAGGCCCCTGTGAACACTTTTCCTTTTCTGATGAGTACCTAATACTGCAGAGACTTTGAGGATAATTGACTTTTAAAGACACAGTAGGGGAGTTCAGATGTTCGTAAT